GAGGCCGGGCTGGAAGGGACTTCCCAGAGGCAGCGCAGACACCTGCCTTGACCCTCCCAGCTGTGCTCCCGGGTGGGGTTGGGGTGAGCGTGCGCGGAGCATGCGTGACACCCTCTCGGCCCGAGAACCCACGTTGGGCCAACTCTCCGGGCTTGAGGCGTCATCCTGGGCCTCGGTGAGGGGGGTCGGCCCGGCCTTTCCAGAGGATTCGGGCTCCCAGACAGCAGCCCCGACGCTGCGAAGGCCTCAGTGGTGCTGTGCTGACGCGTGCGTTCGTTGTGACCAGCTTTATTGAGGTGGCGGCTTCACAGGACTGTTGAGCTTCCCGGACACACGTCATCGCGCCCCAGAACACCCCCTTCCCGCATGTTCCCGGCCCCCTCCCTTCCGGCGAGGCTCAGTTCTGTATTGCCATGACTCCGGCCATTGGCTGTTCCCTTACTGTTTTCTTTATATCCCGCGTAGGAGAGTGACCATTTTTCTTGGAGGAAGTGACATCTGCAGATATTTTGATGAACGAAGCTAAACTCCTGAGATTCCACAAAACTGTTAATCAGTGATGTTGATAAAAAAGATTTTTTCAAAAATCCATCCTCCCACTTTCGCTCGCTCCCTCCCTCCCTCCCTCCCTCCCTGTTTTAAGGCGATTTATTTTATGGACCACCCATAAAATATGGACCACCATCCCATGTTACTCGGGCTTACTCCTGACTCTGAGCTCAGGGATCATCCCGAGTTCCTGGTGGATCTTGGGGGACCCTGTGTGGTGTTTGGGGCCCAACCCCAGTCAGCTGCGTGCAGGGCCAGCGCCTCCCTGCTGTACTGTCTGTCCGTCTCCTCTTTTTTTCCCCACGGGTATATGGATTTGAAAAATTAACAGTATAATTCCATGCTGATATATTTAAAATTGGCATGAAATAGATCAATCCACCAACTGTAAAATTTAGAATGAGCGAGAAGCGGACACGAGACACTTTTAAGGGAAAATCTGTACAGGCCTATTCAAGTAGAAAAAGTGTGTTTCAGCCTTGAAAGGAAATACTGGCGTTGTGTTGGAAAGTATTCTAGTACAGATAGTGCTTAAGCACTAATTGATACCTTTTGCATCTGAGCTCAACTCTCACAAGTAACCTTGGTGGGGAGAAAATTCCCATTTGTGACTGTCCTCAGCGTGCCCTTGGCAGTCCCAGAGCAGGGCATCCTGGCCTCCAGGTGTGCCCGGACGTTCTGGGCAGAGGTGTTGAAGGCTGAGCCTGCGGCCCTGGGGAGGCCTCCTGGGCTCTTCGAGCCTGGAGCCCGGCTGGAGAAAGTGGGGCAGCTTGGTAGCAGATTCTGTCTTGTAGGAAGGTCAGGAACTCGTCCAAGAACTTTCTCTAAAGGTCTCTCTGTGTCCCTGCCCAGAAGACCCAAGTGGCTTATTTGAACCACCAAATTTTTGTAAATAGTTACTGGTATTGCTTTGCCTTACGGTAGGGTTAGGAGCCTAAAGTCTCTGAGACGCCATGAACAGAATGCTGTCCACTTCAATGGGCATTTCTCTCCTTCTCTTATGTTTTGTTTTTGAAGATGGCTTAGGAAAGCTTATTAACGTTAACTTATTGAATTAAATAATAATTTAATTATGGTTAATAACATAAGCCCGATTGTTTAATTAAACAATAATTAGTTCAGTCATTTAATTACATTTAATAATGTCAATTCAGTCATTTGAATAATAATAATAATTTAATCACTTTTAATAACATGAATTTACTTAGCATTAGTTTTTATCAAGTTCAGGTGTTTATCCAGAGAATCCATCAGATGCCTTTCCAAGCAGCCGGATCGCTCTAACAGATGCTCTTTTCCACGTGGCAGTGGAGACTGGCCGTCCGTTCCCATCTCCCTGCCCCTTCGGGGTCCTGGCTGTCACGCCTGTGAACAGCCTCCAGGTGCCATTTAAGCACCTGGCCTTGAGCCAGAGACTCACAGTGGATCTGAGAACCGATTAGCTCGCTGCAGAGATGTCTCCGGACCCCAGTTATTTAAAATTTTAGAAGTTCAGGACCGTGTGGCCACTTTTGCATCCACACAAACATCTTGTGATATTCATAACAAGTAGAAAATAAATTATCTAGCATCTGCCTACCGCAGGCAGGTTTGAGTGGTGGGGGGAAGTTTGAACTAATGGTGGTGGGATTGGTGTTCAAATATTTAATGTGATCAATTAATGTGAATAACCTTATGAAAATCAAATTTAAAAATTAAAAAAAAATTTTCCCTTTTCTCCATGAAGATCTGCTGGTTTTGAAAACAAAGGTTTTCATGTGAAACTTGGTCCTAAACACTCTCCCCCCGTCCTCTCTCTCCTCTCTCTCTCTCTCTTTCTCTCCCCCTCCCCCATCCCCTCCCTCCCTCGTTCCGATTCCTGGAAGCACACAGAGTGCTCTGGGCAAATACTCGGTGTGGCCTCCCTACCTCACCCCCCACCACACCAGACAACAGTTCATCAGTTTTTCTGTCCTAAAATTCAGTCCAGAATCGGGCTGTCCCAGAAGAGGACGTGTGGGACTTCCCAGACGGTCTTGGGTTTCCGGAATAACGAAGGCCATGTCCACACCACCACACAGCCGACTTGGGGGTGGGCTGGGTGCAGGTCTGAGTCTCGGGCGTTCGGGGCAGACCTGCTTCTCTGACCTGCTCTGATGGGACAGAGACCCCCAACTCCCCCCGCCCCCTACCCCACCCCTGTGTATTGGACCCTGTCCTCTGGAAACCAGCCGGTCTTGTTCAGAGGGGTCTCAGTCCCGCACAGCGCTCTCCTCCCTGCACCGCCTTCCGTGTGACCCTTCCAGATTTCTGACTAACTTTTGCTCGTCACAGTTGGCCTCACCAAGAGTCTGAAGGGCCTTACTGGCCTCAGCTATGCTCTGGAAACGACCAAGACAGAGGCCGGGCTGGGGCTGCAGTCGGGGAGCATATGTCCTTGGTGACACCCCCCCACATGCTTCCTGGGGTCCCAGCGCTGCCAGGCGGAACCCCCATGCACTCCCACCCAACCTGCCTCCCCTCCAAAATAATGGCTATGGTGGTCATTGTTTTGGGTTTTGATGTTATATTTTGAGACTCGCCCAGCGGTGCTCCTGCGCTACTCCTGGTGTGGTGCTTACCGTTTAGCTGTTTGGGGTACCATGGGGTGCCAGGGGTCAAACCTGGGGCCCCCTCAACTTCGTGTATCCGCCAGCCCTCCGAGCCAGCTCCCCAGCTGTGATGCCCAGCTGCGTATTGTTTATGGTACCCCCATTCTGTTGGGCCGGAGCGATGGCATAGCGGGTAGGGCGTTTGCCTTGCACACGGCCAGCCCGGGTTCGATTCCTCTGCCCCTCTCGGAGAGCCCGGCAAGCTACCAAGAGTATTCTGCCCGCATGGCAAAGCCTGGCAAGCTACCTGTATTCAATATGTCAAAACCAGTAACAGGTCTCACAATGGAGATGTTACTGGTGCCCGCTCGAGCAAATCGATGAACAAGGGAGAACAGTGCTACGGTGCTACCCTCTTCTGTTGAGGTTCCCTGGCATGCCATACTTGGGGGGCCCAGGGACCTGGCCCAGCAGTGCTCTGCTTGGCTGTGCGGACCCAACGGGACCAGGTTTGGGTCCCACGGTGCTGTGCTGCTTGGACACAGGGGTGCTTGGGGGGGCCATATTTTGCCAGAGGTTAAACTTGGGGCCTCGCAGCTGTCAGGCATGTGCGACGGCCATTTCAGCCAACTCTGGGCCCTCCCGCAGTTAACTTGCTCGCTCCCAAGGGGGGGGTGTTGATGCGGGGAGCAGAGATGCCTACCGTGAATGTGGGAAAAGACCTTTTTTTTTTTTCTTCGCTCAGCCAACTTTCAGTATTTAGTTTTGTTTCCAGCCTTCTCTGCATGCCTTCACACAGTCAGGCTGTTAGAATACTGTCACATAATACCGCCTCAGCTCTCTCGAACGTTCATTTTGGGGGGAACCACACCCAGTGGCGCTCAGGTCTTGCTCCTGGATTTGGGGTCACTTTTGGCCGGGCTTGAGGGTACGTACGGGGATCAAACCCAGGTCAGCCGTGTGCCCGCTCTAGTCTCTCGTTGCCCCCCTGCTTAGGTTCGTTTTGCAGAATTATGGAACTAGAACTGCAGGGCCAAATGCCCGGGTTCCGGTTCTTTACCTCCAGCTTTTGATATTGTAACGCCGGCCAGTGTATCTAATCTTTCTGCCTGGGTTTCTGCCGTTAACATCAGTGTTTCTCAACCTTTTTCTTTGTGGGCTCCTTCAGACCCGGTTCCCTCCGTGTGATGGCCCCGCCCTACTGGTTGGCTCCTGAGTCTCATGCCATGCCCCCCCCCATGTTATTTTCACCCATGCCCCCCCTTGGAATATCCTGGGGGCCCACCGGAGGTCGCAGACCCCTGTTGAGAAATGCGGCTATTCTAAACCGATGACTCTGAATGACCAACTTGGCAGTGTCCAGAGACAGTTTTGGTTTTCAAGACTAGGATGGTGCCCCTTATGCCCAGCAAGCTAAGGGTTCGGCTCAAGTTCCCCCACGCACCCGGGTCAGCCCTCTCCTGGGTCAGCTCCCCGCAAATGGTAGCTGTGCTGAGCTGGGGAAGCCCTACCCCAGATGGGGAATCAGAGGCCAGGACTCACCTCTGAGGGTTGTTTCGGTACGTGGGGGCTGGAAAGGTCTAGGTCTGGGAGTAGCCCCTGGGCACCACTGGGTGTGGCCCCTATCCCCCGTCCCCCAGATAAATAAAGCGCCAAGTTAGCACACAGAATCGCAATGCCTAGCTCAGGGGAACTGCTGTGTGTGACCTCTTACTCTACAATTTCTATCATTGCTGTTTTTTTTTTCTAGTCATTTCCTACCAGCATTCCTGTACTTCAGAACTCCCAGTTTTTTTTTTAATAGTTTCAAAAATAACATCTGACAAAATTTCCTTTTATGTAAATACTGCATGCTGATTGTCTGTCTTTCTCCTTTTCCAGATGAAATTAAAGCGGAGATAGAAAAGCAGAGGTAAGCTGGGAACTTCTCTGCCCAAGTGCAGTGTTGGGGGGACCCTTTTTGGCCAGCGCCCCCAGACGCCCCCTCCTGGGGGCCCAGACTCTTGTAGAGCAGGCCCCTCTGCGACACAGTAACGGGTCGGCTCAATGTCGCTGGACCAGGTTCTTCTGAAGGTCTCGTGTGCAGATCCCTGAGCCGAATCATCAGCCCTCGCAGTGTCTGGGATTTGTCTGGGTATTGGGTGGGGGGTGGGCAGGGGATGGGGCCGTCTCTCAAGCACTTCTGGGGGACCATGCGGTGCTGGGGATTAAACCCAGAATATCAGACACACCAGGGCTCGTGTCCTACAGCTGAGCTGTAGCTCAGCCCCGCCTGTGCCCCGATTATTTATGTATTCATTTGGGGATGTTGAGGACCACACCTGGCAGTGCTCAGGGCTGACTCCTGACTCTGTGCTCAGGGGTCGGTCCCCCCCCTCCCCCGGCAGGGCTCTGGGAATCCTATGGGATGCCAGGGACCAAACCCGGTTTGGCTGTGTGCAGGGCAAGTGCCCTACCCACTGTGCTATCCCTCCAGCCCCTGCGCCTACATTATTTGCTTTGTTTTTGGGGGGCCGCACCCGGCAGTACTCATGGGTTACTCCTGGCTCTGCACTCAGGAATCACTCCTGGCAGGGCTCTGGGGGGACCATGTGGGATGCCGGGGATCGAACCTGGGTCAGCCGCACGCGAGGCAAGCACCCTCCCTCTGTGCTGTGGCCCTGGGCCTGCGTTTCTAATGAAGGGAGTGCACGTGGGCTGGGAGCCGGAGGTGCCGGCCGAGCTCGTGTTGCCCTTTGTCTTTTTGCCTCTTCTGCTTCTCTCCTAGGCTCGGCGCTGCCGCCCCACCCAAGGCGAACTTCATCGAAGCTGACCAGTACTTCCTTCCGTTCGAGCTCGCGTGCCAGTCCAAGTCCCCGCGCGTGGTCAGCACCTCTCTCGACTGCCTGCAGGTACCGTGGTGAAGCCTCGCGTGTCCAGGGGCTTCCTTGCAGGTGGAGGGTGGTCTTTACGAAGAAGGTGTCCCCCGCCCCCCAGGGAGCCCAGCAGGGTCATAGAGCCTGGGAAGGGGAGCGGAAGGCGTCTGCTCTCCCGCTCACCACGCGGGATCTGGTCTCCCCAGAAATACTCCGTTAATTTCTCTTTGGCCTAAAGCCTTTTTTGCATTGAGTGGAATATTTGGGGGAGGGGGGCGCAGAACATATTTTTATCGCAGCCTCTTGAATGGCATTAAAATTCCTGACACCAAATCAGGACATAGTTAGAATTTTTCCCGTGTTCATATATTGTCACAACGAACATTGAATTAGCTGGCACCGAGCCGTCGTTTCTGGGAGAAAAACCCAGGGTCAGATTCTGATAAGCCTCCGCTCACAGCACGTCCGTCAGCTGGTCGGGCGAGCGTCCCCGCTGTGTACCTGCCCACAGACGTTTCACTCTGTTGCTGATGTGTGACCGTCGCACTCCTGGTCAGCACTAATCCGTGCTGAGGCAGAGCTTGTTCACCACAGACGCTCTCTGGGAGGCTCAGCTCTGCCTGGCGTGCTCCCAGAGCTGTGCTGGACGCTGACTTCCCTGGCCAAAGCCTCCACCGTGGGCTAAATGTGCAGAAGGGGGGAAGTGACGTAGCGGGCACTCGCTGGCCACGGTACCAACACGGACATTGCTCAGAGCCCAAGAGCTGAGGCTTGAAGGAGACGAGTTGGGTCATGTGGGGCCGGGGCCATCGAGTGGCACATGCCCCGTTCTGTCCCATGAGTCTGCAGACGAGCCCGCAGAGCCACATGTGGGTTTGGGGCGGGCTCTCAAACGCCTGTGGGTACAGACCCTGCTAGTGAAGATCGGCTGCCCGAGGAAGGGCGGAGGCTGTTGGGGAGTCACAGTGTCCTCTGTGGCCGCACGGTGCCAGCAGGTTGGTCACGGACAGCCAGCGCGAAGCCCGCGTGTCCGTCCCGTCGTGCACCGGGGCCAGGCCCGTGACTTTGAGATTCTCATTTGGCCCAGGGGAGCCAGACGCTCCGCATTCCCGATCTGTTAGGACCGCTCCAACGCTTTGTTGGAACGGTTTCTGAGTTCTCTCTGGTTCCCTGAGAACGCCATGACGGATCGCTGACGGGAGGCGCGGGGCTGCTGAGTGGCAGCGGCGGGACACACTTTTGGCACGTCTAGCCTAATATTTACTCTATTAATCTCTCTTTTGATTCATCCGCACTTGAAAATTGATGACAGTCCCTTCGCAGGAGCAACTTTTTCCAATGGAAAGCCAGTTTTGAAAATGCAGTATAATCCTATGCAGATTGTCCTATGTGGAGCATATGATGAGCCAAGAATTCTTAAACAGCAGACTCGAGTCCTACTTCTAGCCTAAAATAATGTGTTGCTGTGAACATTTTGTGAGGAAATATGGCGCGAGTTTACGCTCTTCTCTTCTTGTGTTAAGGTTCAGTTTGGAAGTTGGTGCTAAAGGTTACGTTATTCACATACTGAGAACTTAAGTGTGTGCTGGCGCCAGAGAGATGGTACAACGTGGAGGGCACATGCCTTGCACGTGGGCAGCCCAGGGTTCAGTCCCTGTCATCGCATATGGTCCCTGAGTACCGCCAGGAGTGATCCCTGAGTATCGCCTGGTGTGGCCCCAAAACAAACAAACAAAAAAAACAACAAAACTTTAGTGTTCTTAAATTCTTCATGCAGAGAACTCTCTCTGCGCTCAGCAGCAGGACGGGACAACTGTCCTGGTCCCTGTGCCGTATGTTTCATCATCCTTGCTGTGTTTGATCTTCCCAGCCACCGCCCGAGGTGCCGCTTTCACCCTCACTCCAGGACCAAGAAACCAGACACTGACCAGGCCAGGAAGTGGCGGGGGGCAGGGAGGGGGGGGCCTCAGGGACCTCTTCCCCTGCGTGCCAGAGCTGACCCTCCACTCTGCTCCCTGGATGTCCTAATCTGCTCAGGCTGGCAGGACGGGCTGTCACGGTGACTTCCCGAGGAACGTTCCCTGTAGTTCTGAGGCTGGGGGATCAAGGTCGAGGGAGAGTGGGTGTGGGCCCTGGTGGGAGTCCTGTGTGCTGACCGATCAGCAAGGCAGCTCTGTTCTCACTGTGCCCCGGACCCTTTGCCCAAAGGACATTAAGGCCAGGACTGGCCCCACCCAAACCTGATCGCCCGCCTCCCGAGGGGTTTGGGCTTCAGCTCGCCAGGGTGCTGGGCCCCAGACACTGTGTCCCAGCAGCAGCGGTGCTATTTGTGCGCGTGTCACCGGGCCGCTTATTGCCGTGGCCGAGTTTATCTTTGAGGCCACCCCAGCCCACAGCAGCCTCCACATCGGCTTGGTGGCCCTGCAGGAGGAGGTCGCCTGCCTCTGTCCGTGATGCTTGCCTGACGGGTCTCATCTCTTGACCCTCAAGTGTGTCATGTTTCCCCAGAAAGAGTCGGTTTCCGGGGCTTCTGATGTCCTGTACTCCCACCCCCACCACTCGACCCCGTTGTCGGTGTGAGGGGACAGTATCTGTCTCAGGTGCGTGACGTGGTTTTGTAGACTTGGATGTTCTCCAGAATGGAATCGATCTGCTGGGATTTGCCTGGTTAGTACACGACATACAGACTCAGTCAGAAAGTGCTCCCAGCAGGCTGACTGCCACAGCGCCTCCTCTCCGTGGCCACCTTGTGGAGCCTGTCAAACCGGCTCTGCCCGTGTGGGGGCTGTGGCTTCTCCCTGGAAGGGGGGAAGGCAGCTTCTGGCAAACAGGTTGGATTTGACAGAATCAAACCAGCTGCGCACAGGTCTGCACTGTCCCCAGCATTGAAGGTTGTTCTTTGAACTTGGGGAAGTGGCGTGGGGGGCGGGGGGCGGGGGCCGGGCCGGGGAGGGGGGAGATGGTGGCTTTGGTACTGGCTTGGCTTTGCTGGGAGCACCATGAACCTGTGTCCCCGTCCTCCACTGGAACGTGCTGGCGTCTTCCCTTGGTGCTGCTTCTCTCGAGTACTCAAAAGTCTCTGGTCCCCCCCACCTCCCGCCCCTGTCCCCCTGGCTCCACCCCCTCAGCCCCCCAAGGCCAGGAAGGAGCTGAGGGTTCCGTCCTGATGAAGCTAGTGGGTGATCTTGGAAGATTTTCTGGCACAAATTACTTTTCGTTTAGAATATCCTCGCCACCGCGCATATGCTGCCTGAGCACATGTGTCGCCTGCGTCTCCCCTCTTGAGATGTGTACTTTCATGTCTAATGCTGGGATGTGTGTAGGGGCTCTCTCCACCCTTGGAGAAGCCCGGGCTCCCTTTTGAGTAGGTTACTCTCTACTCTCTCTCGCTTTCTCTCCCTCCTTCCCTTCAAAACCTCCAAATAAAAACTAATTTCAAAAAAAAATAGATTATCCTCTCCACGTAATCATATTTCATCAACTTCACTTGATTGCTTGACTTCCCGTTAATCATCGATTTGCCCAAGCGGGCACCAGTAACATCTCCATTCGTCCCTGTCACGTGCTAGTGTAGCTCAATGGTGTCTGTTCGTTCTAGGAACACGAAGAGCCTCAAACTGATAATTCAGGGTCTTGACGAAGAAGTCTGACCATCTTGTAGGTGGGCAACCACTTGGTCTTTTGACGTCCCATGGAATCCAGTCCCGCGGTCGTCTCCAAATCTCATTACATGTCCAGCCCATCTGATTTTCAATGCCTTGATTCTTGACAGCGTCCCTGATTCTTGACGGTTGACGGAGGTCGGAACTCCGGATTCGTTCTCTCATTTGAGTGAAGCGTGATACTCCAAGCATAGTTCTTTTGATTCATCTTTGGGAGACCCGAATAGCGTTCTCATCCTGTTTGCGTAGGGCCCAGGTCTCTGAGGCGTATGTTAATATAGGAAGAACAGATTCCACAGTTCTTCCTGCATTTTATCAACTCTAAGACTCTATATGGGTACTACTATTATTAAATGACACAGACTAAAACAGATAAAAACAGACCTTTCGGGAGCGGAGGTGGAGGGACCCGTAGCTGACTGTGCTCAGGGATCATTCCTGGAGGGGCTCAGGGATGGGGGCTGAGCTGCTGTCATGTCTCTGGCCTCTAAAGTAGATCTTTTCAAAGGGTGAGACAAGGGAAAGTAGGACTAGAGCTCTGGTATTTTCATTTGGTTTCCTAGTAGAGGCTGGAGGAAACCCCGGTTTCTAAGTCTTTAAGTTCAGACATTAGCTTTATTCGTTAGCTCTTGTTAACTCTTGTTTCTAGGGGCTGGAGCGGTAGGGCGTTTGCCTTGCGTGCAGCCGGCCCGGTTGAGCCTGGTTCGATTCCTGCACCCCTCTCGGAGAGCCCGGCAAGCTCCCTGTGATGTACTCAATATGCCAAACACAGTAACAAGTCTCATGATGGAGACGTTACTGGGCCCGCTCGAGCAAATCATTGAACAACGGGAGGACAGTGACAGTGACTTGTTTCTAGAAAATTTTGGATTTAAACAAAAAAAAAAGTACATTTATTTATTTAGAGATGAGGTTAGGGCCACACCCAGTGATGCTCAGGGCCTACTCCTGACTCTGCTCAGAGGTCATTCCTGACAGTGCTCAGGGGGGTCATACATGGTACTGAGGATCAAACTGGGTTCTGCAGTTTGCAAGGCAGTCACCTTGTCTGCTCTCTGGCCCCTAATGGACATTCAAGAAATCCACTACAGCTGGGGTGGAGTGCTTGCCTCACACGCGGTCAGCCCGAATACGATCCCCCGCATCCTGTATGGTCTCGGGTCCGCTTGGCGTGATTCTTGAGTAAGCCCCGAGCACTGTCAGGTATAGCCCCAAATCAAAGAAGTCCACTTTTAGTTCTTTAAGCTGCGTTTATCTATATTCTCAGTTTCAAAACAATGTTGGGTCAGCCAGAGAGATAGTATGGAGGGTGGGGTTCATGCCTTGCACGTCGCCAACCTGGGTTTGATTCCCTGATACCCCTCGCAGTCCCCTGAGCCTGCCGGGAATGATCCCAGAGCGCCGAGCCAGAAATAAGCCCTGAGCAGTTCCGCATGTGGCCCCCAAACCAAAATCATTACATAAATAAAAGTTTTAAAAGTATAAGGGCCTGAGATTAGGACAGGAGCTATGGCACTTGCCTTGTTTGTGGCAGTTCAGTCCCCAGCACCTCAGGGTGTCTCTTCTGAGCACAGAACCAAGAGTAGCCCAGGAGCACTGCGGGACGTGGTCCCACAAAGCCTCCCTCAGCCCCCAGTTAATAATGTTCAGAACCTTTCGGGTAAGGCTGATGCCCCCTTCCCCCAGCCCCCCCCCCCCCCCCCGACCACCAGCCACAGACCCAGTTGCCTCTCTAGGTTCGTCTTTTTTTTTCTTTTTTTCTTCTTCTTTTTTTGGGGGGGGGGGGTTACACCCAGCGATGTTCAGGGCTTCCTTCTGGCTCTGCACTCAGGAATTACTCCTGGTGGTGCTTGGGGGACCATGTGGGATGCCGGGGATCGAACCTGGGTCGGCCACGTGCAAGGGAAATGCCCTGCCCGCTGTGCTATCACTCCAGCCCCTCTTTCTTTTTCTTATTTAGATAAATGGTGTCCTTAAGCGGTTCCCCCCATGGCTGACTTTCCGCATCCCAGTGGCGCTCCAGCGCTCTTGCCGCATGTGACTAGAGCCTTCCTTCTGTCTGACACGGGCTAGGTGATGCCTCCGTCCCCTTGAGGGGCAGTGCCAGAGAGGACCGTGAGCACTCCGGTGCCAGCAGCCTCCTGGCACAGCCGCCTGGGTGACACAGCTGCCCAGCGGCCTCCCTCCACCTTCTCATCAACAATCACGCTACAGGAAACAAGCGGGGACCCCTGTCCCCTCCAGTCCTCCCTTGCGGCCCCTCCCCAGCCTCTCCTGAGGCCCCCTTCGCTGGTTCCCTCGTCCACTCCTGCGCTCCCTGCCCACTGTACCCGTAGGTGCTCTTCAGGGTGGACTGTCCGACTTGACCCTCTCCCACCCTCGCCCACCGTGGTCCTCCTCACTCCTGGACCAGGACCTTGCTGAGGAGTGCTTGCTCGGCGCCTCTGCAGGTTCCCGGGCTTCGTCTCTGCATTTTCGGAACCCTTCATGAACGCGTACGTAGTCTGCCAGCAAGGAGACGTGCGTGCCTGCTCACCGCTGCAGTCGGCGCTCCTGGCTCAGGAAAGAAGGTGGTCTTGCCTTTGTAGCCCCCTGGTCCCCAGCAAGACGTGGCCCCTGGCAGGGCGAGAAGGCCGAGCCTGGGAGACCCATGGGACCCGGGATCTGCTTCCAGGCAGCCCCCTCCACGCGGGAGGGAGTCTGTGCCCTGCGAGAAGTTCTCAGCCATGAAGCGGAGCGTTGGGCATGGACGGGGGAGTCGGGGATGTTTTGGGGAGTCGGGGGTGTAACAGGGCCCCTTTCACATTGGCAGGAAGCAGCAGCTACTTGCCTCCACCTCGGCCCCATGGGGCTGCTGGGCCTTCTGGGGCCTCCGGGGTTCCTGGCCCTTCCCACCCTAACCCTTTGTCTTTGGCGGGGGTGGGGGGTCGGCTGTAACCTCAGGAGCTGGTGGCCCCTTGTGTGCAGTCTTGATCCCGTCATTGCAAGCAGGGATCTAAGAATTCAGGTTTTCCAGCGGGCTTTATCTTTTTCTCTCATTCAGACGTCTGGGTGGGTTGGAGCCCATGTTCTGTATCAGGTCCCTGAGTTCGAATCCTGGCACTGCATGGCCCTCTGAGCCCCTGCATACTCCGTAGCCCCTGAGCACTGCCGGTTATGACACCCCCCCCCCCCCCGCCCCCCAAACAAAACCGGAAACAGCCCTGAAGGTGGCAGAGAACACAGGTCGCAGGGCTACTCAGTCTGCTGTCACACAGGTCCAGCCCCAGGGATCTGATTTCAGTTTTAGTTTCTATGTGTCTGTTTTGATTTGGGGGCAGCGCCAGGCAGTGCTCAGGAGTGGCTCTTGCCTCAGTGCTCTGGGATCACTCCCGGTGGTTCTCAGGAGACCCGACTGTGTTGGGGATGAGTTTCAGCTGGGCCTCCGCTGCGGCCCATGAACCTGTGTTTGCGATCCTGAAACTCGACCAGGTGTGGAGAGCTGCCGTGCCCGGCATTTTTTTTTTTATTATTATTATTTTTTTATTTATTGAATTGCTATGGGAAAAGTTACAAAGCTTTCAGGTTTAGGTCTCGGTCATGCAAATACCAATCACATTTCCCTTTACCAATACTTATTTTTCACCACGAAGAACCCCAGTAAACCCCCCAGCCCCCTCCCTAATGTCTGTGGGGTAGATGAATTCTAGTTAACACTCTGTCTACTTTGACTAGCTTCATTGTTTTGAAAAAAGTTGCACCATTATTATTTAGACTTTACCCCCCCCCCCAAATCAGCCATGCTGAAAAAGCATTGTGAAATGATCTGCTTTCTACAGCTGGGTTCAAGAATTAAATGATGTTTTTAATTTTTTTGGATTTCTGCTATTTTATTTATTAACCCTGCAAGTATTTCTACTGAGAGTCAGATAATTAAGAGATTGGTCTCTGTGCTTCTGGGGCCGTGGCCGTGCCGGAGAGCCGCTCGTGGGGGGCAACTGGTGACCTCGGTAGGGCGTGAAGGACGGGCCGGAACGCCCCCCGTCCCGTGAGGTATCCATCGCACCCCCACCCCCGGCTCAGACCTGCTCTCCACCAGGCTCCCATGCAGCCGCCATCTTTCTTTCCAGAGTGGAGAGGGCGGAAGGCAGCAACACCCTTTCCAGTCCGCGTGCCCGGCTTTTGTCCCTTCCAGCCCTCAGATGGGCTGCGCTGAAATCCAGGTCAGGAGTATGGGCACACGGGCTAGTGTCTTGTCTCCCGATCCATGGCCTGAGCAGTCACAGGGTGACACGTGCTGGTGGGTAACAGGGGTGCAGAATGCTGTGGGTGTTGTTGCTTCATGGGTTGCTGTGACCCGGTGTTCAGATAGATAGACGGAGTGCGTACTCTCGCCGGTGGCTGACACAGTTGCTCTGTTGAGCCAGAATCCCAGACCTGCAGGGCACCCAGCCAGGCGACACCCCCTCGCTGCTTTCAGACCATCTCTGTACCCCAGTGGAGGCCTCTGCCCCTCCACGGCCGCCCCTCCCCCCGTTCCTTCCCCCCCCCCCCCCCGAAACTGGCCGCTTCCCAACTTCCTGTCTCTGCTTTCCATACCTTTATGTATATATGCAGGGCTGAAGCGATAGCGCAGCGATAGGGCTTTTGCCTTGCGCTCAGTCAGCCCGTCCGAGCAGGTTTTGATTCCTCCGCCCCTCTCGGAGAGCCCAGCAAGCTACCGAGAGTATCTCACCCGCACGGCAAAGCCTGGCAAGCTCCTCGTGACGTGTTCGATATGCCAAACACAGTAACAACAAGTCTCACGATGGAGACGTTACTGGGCCCCGTTGAGCAAATCGATGAACAATGGGAGGACAGTGATAGTGATGTGTACATGCCTATCTATAGTTCTGTTTGTTTTCGGGCCACACCTCGCAGTGCTCAGGGCTTACTCCTGGGTCTGTGCTCAGGGCTCACTTCTGGCGGAGCTTGGGAACCATATGGGGTGACGGGGTTTGAGCCCAGGTTGGCCACGTGCAAAGCAAGTGCCCTACTCCCTGTACTGTCACTTGGCCTCATAGTTTTTATATTTTTAAGTAATTTGTGTTTGGTATTGGGGCCAGACGCAGTGGTGCTCAGGGGCTCGGAATCTGGGCCCTGGTATGTCTTCCCTATACCAGGTAGAAGTTTATTTATTTTTGCTTTTGGGTCACACCCGGCGATGTGATGGTCACACAGGGGTTCCTCTTGGCTCTGCACTCAGGAATTACTCCTGGTGGTGCTCAGGAGACCATATGGGATGCTGGGAATTGAACCTGGGTCGGCCGCGTGCAAGGCAAATGCTTTTCCCGCTGTACTGTTGCTCCAGCCCCAGTTAGAAATTTAACTGCTCCCACCTCTCTGGGAGACTCGTCTCCCTTTGCGTTTTCTCCCGGATGCTCTTCACCATCCCGGGGCTCTTCTGCCTTTGGGAGCCAGAGTGAACCCCATTCTCGGGGGTGCGGCACTGCCGTGGCCCGGGGCAGCAGAAGAGCTGTGGGAACCGGAAGCCAAAGGCCAGGCTCCCTGCTCTCAGGCCTGGCCCTGCACCACCTGCTCATCTCTGCTCTTTGTGTGTTTAGAAACTCATCGCCTATGGACACATCACCGGCAACGCCCCTGACCGAGGAGCCCCGGGGAAGCGGCTGATCGACCGGATTGTTGAGACCGTGTGCAATTGTTTTCAGGGCCCGCAGACGGATGAAGGCGTTCAGTTACAAATAATTAAGGTATTTTTCGCCCAGAGGAGTTCGGTTACAGATAATGAAGGTATTTTTCGCCCGGTCTGGATTTCCGATGAAAGGGCTCCTCTCCTGGGGGAACTGGGGTTTCTGATTCTCCAGGTGTTACTTGTCTCGGGTGGTGCCGAGCTGGAACAGAGAAACGTAAGCGTTGCTCAGATCTTGTGTTAAATGTCAGGATTCATTCTCGGGGACTGAAACAAGAAGAGTGGAACCAGGTGGGGCTGCAGAGTTAACGGTTCCCTGATGTTAAATCCAGAGGCTCGACGTCGTCTGGCCTTTCCCTGTCAGACTCTGAATCGGAAGGTCCCGGTTTGTCCTTGTGTCACGAGTGTGCCTCAGTCCCTCACCCTGTTGTCGGTGGGCCCCATAGAAGGGCTCATGTGAAGCCGGGAGGAGAAAGAAAGATGGTCACTTCTCCCCATCCGCCTCTGCCACGTGCAACCCTCTGCCCTGGGTTGTGCCCCTTGGAGGGCATCCGCCAGCTAGAGCCTACCGGGACCCCCAGTGCGACCAGGAAGCTGGCCCTCCCTGGGCGCTTGTTTGCTTTGTGATTATGGGGGTGAGATTCAGCTGGTGAGTTTTCTCTCCTGAGACAAGTGCTTATATTTTTAGCTTTAGTATTATTTTTTGGCTCTTGGGCCACAGCCGGCAGTGCTCAGGGGATCAGAGACGGTGCCGGGGATTTGAACTCGGGTCGGCTGCATACAAGAGATAGTACCTTAACCCTGCCCTATCTCTCTGGTATTTTGTGTATTTATTTGGATTTGGGGGCCACACCCAGCAGTGCTCAGGGCTTACTCCTGGCTCTGTGCTCAGGGATCTTTGCCAGCAGTGCTCAGGGCAATCATATGTGGTGCTGAGGATCGAACCCAGGCCAACCACAAGCAAGGCAAGCGCCCTACCCTCTGTACTACTACTGCTCTGGACTTTTTTTTTTTTCCTTAAGTTAACTGGGAGAAGGCTCACAGTAAAGCAATTTATCTCAAGTAATTTGAATTTTATGAAATTAAAATTTCATAAAATTTCAACTTTTAAACTTAGAGTAAGGGGCCAGAGATAGTGTAAAGGTATGCGGGGGGTCAAGGCGGTTACCCCCATGGGGTGGGCCCCAGATTGATCCCCAGCACTAATATGGTCCGTCCCCTCCCACAGATAAAGTAAAGTAAACTCAAAGTAATAGGAAGTTGACTCTTGGCGTTCATTATTCAGTTTAGTTGTCAGAAACTAAATTTTCTGAAAACTAAACCCTGTAGAAGAGTTGCTCTGTGAGAGGGACCGGGAGGGTGGCAGGGGGGCGGAGCCTGGTGGGGAGGCGGGGGGTGGGGGGGAGAGGGCAGCGTCTGATGAGGGAGGCTGGGGAAGAGTCTGACGAGGGAGGCTGGGGGGTTTCTCCCAGGCTCTTCTGACGGCCGTGACGTCCCCGCACATCGAGATCCACGAGGGTACCATCCTGCAGACAGTGAGGACGTGTTACAACATCTACTTGGCCAGCAAGAACCTCATCAATCAGACCACCGCCAAGGCCACCCTCACCCAGATGCTGAACGTCATCTTCACCCGCATGGAGAACCAAGTGGTGGGTGCCGGCCCGGGCAGCGGCTGCTCCTCTCGGCCGCTCCTGACGTTTCCGTCTCAGTTTCCGTCCTTGCTTTAAGACGCAGTCACTGTCACCTTAGGTTTGGACATTGGCAATCACGATCTGCTTTGAGAATAGTCTGAGATACTTTAGTTCCATTTAGAATTTTATCCTTTTTTTAAAAAAAGAAAAACCCATAGGAGTAAAATTAAAACTTTATCCTTCTGTTCGGAAATTAAAAAAAATAGCAACAAAAAGCAGAGTAACAGCAATCTGTCGTATTTTCTATTTCATACCCCAGTGGCCAGGATGGTCGGTCACAACCTCACCACCCACCGCCCTTTCCCCATTGCCTTGCAGTTGCAGGAGAGCAGAGACTCCGAGAAACAGAGCCAGTCCAAGCCACAGTCTCCAGTGGCCCGTGCCGCGGCACTGTCCCCAAAGCTCGCTCACCTGAAGCAGGGCCAGGCGCCCAGCAAGCCATCCACCCCCGAAAAGACAGAGCTGGCCAATGGGGAGCACGACAGGAGCGCAGAGAACGGAGATGCACCCAGGGAGAGCGGCCCCGCGTTGCCAGGTAGGCGCCCTGTGGATTTTTAGGGATCTCCAGCTCTGGGTGGGGGGGAATAGGGGGGCTGCTGTCATCTCTGTGATGCCTTTGGCAGCAGCTTTGCTGCCTCTGGGCCTCCCCCTGACTGTCTCCCCCGGAGCGTGGCCAGCAGGCCAGTGTCCATCATCCCGCAGCTGTGCCCGGCACGAGGTGTTACTGGGTTGGGCAGCCCTGGTCTGGTTTGATTCACCTGGAGGTTGAGGACTGTGTCCCGCCGTCTGTCCTGCTACGCGCCGTCTGTCCTGCTACGCGGGGTCTCCCCGCCTTGCCTCCTGCCCGGCCCTGCTCTTGGGTGGCCCCTGTGAAGGGACAGGAGGTCAGGTGGATTCGGTTCCATAGGTGACTTTTGAGGTTTGCTGTCTTAGGGGAGGGGGGAGCCCCCACCTGCCTCGCAGTTGCCAGAAGGTGTTTGCTCGTCTCCCGGGTGGCGAGTGTGCTCCAGATCCAGAATGCTCTTGCTTTCGGGAACATTCCCTCCCGGCGACTCTCTCTCATGGCTCACGCTTATGTCTCCCACGGTGACCTCGGTGTCTTCGTGGCTGTGCTCAGTCTGCGCCGGCTCTGCCAGGGGTGGGTTTCTCACGGGCGCCTGTCCCCGCACAGGCAGCCTCGGGCGCCTGCTGTGTCCCAGTGCAGACCGCGGGCAGCAGCGTTTGTGCTGTCCACCTCAGTCCCCTCAAGGCCGAACGGAGTTGCCGTGGAAGTGTGCACGTCTCCGGCGCAAGTTACTGCCCGCTCAGCCCCGCTGTGTGGATCAGGGACGATACTCCCATGTGAGATAACCTCTGCCCTCCTGCCCTCCCGGGGACAGGCCCAGGTTTTTACTGTGACCCTTTTCAGCCAGTGGAGGATCGATCGGGGTTAATGTTTTAAACACGCTGGTAAGCGTGACTGTGCAGACGGAAAGGCCCGTTTCAGCCACGGCAAAGTCCTTCTGCTCCTACTCACTTTCCTCCCTGCAGTCAGAGTGAGTCCTGAAGAGCATGTCCTAGGTTCCGACCCTCCTCCGCTGTGACCCCCTTGGGTCCTTTCCCATCCTGTCCGATCCCGAGTGAATTTCCCCTTCTGGATCTTGGTAGTGCCAGGCTTGCTTGTACCGCAGGGCCTTTGCACTTGCTCTCCCTGCCCCATCCATCTTGCACTGTTCTCAGAGGTCCTTACCTGGCCACCCTCTTGGAAACCTTTCGTCCCTCTGTCCCGTAATTCTTTCATTTCCATCATCATACATGCCAGTCCCTGCATTTACCAGAGTCCACATGTCTGTGCTCTGGGTCCGAAACCGTCTGTACCCACCCCTGGATGCTGATGGGAAAGTGACCCTTGTCACACTTGCGTGGGAAGTGGATCAGATTACTGCAAACCCCCCCTGCAGCTCTTGGAGGAGATAGGGAAGGCTGTGTTTCAGGCGTAGTCCTGCCGGAGCAGGGTCAGGAGGAGTCCTGCCCCACGGCAGTGGGGGTGTTGCTGCCAGTTCTTTGGCTGCCCTGGAAGTTTCTTCGCAGAGTGCGGGACTCAGCTGCCAGCCCGCCGCTGGGCCACCACAGAGGCGCGCCGCTGGCTTCTCGCTTCTTGACAAGGCTCTGCAGACAGAGAGGGTCTTTCAGAAGGGTCGGGAGGCCCCGGGAGCCAGCGCTGTTGCCAGCCCAGAGCCCAGCAGGCGGAGCTCCAGAGTCCTGGGAGAGGTCGGGCAGTGGCCTCCCGTGAGAGAGAAGACAGCCCAGTTCTCCCCTGAGCCCTCCCTGGTCACCCCATCATGCCCTCGCCGGCTGGTCTCTTGGCTGGCCTCTGTCCCGGGGCTGTGTGCTGGCCTGGCCGGGCGGCCTCCTGCTTCCATTTTGTAGGGGGAGGAAGCATATGACCCCCCTAGAGGTTCTCTCTCCCCAAGAGGGTTTTCATCCAGCCTAATAGACCTACGCGTTGGCTTCGCTTTGCAAAACTTGTTTGGGAAGTGGATCAGATCACCGTAAACTCAGAAAATGTGGATTTTGTGCCTGGGAAATGCTCGCCTATGTGGCTTCGGGGACATTGCCAGCAGAGCAGCCTTCCCCTGGGGACCTTACGGCATTTGCTCATTCCCACTCCCGACTGCCAAGCTGTGGTTGGATTTTACAACGCGGCTTGTGGAGTCGCAGCTCAGGGAACGAAAAGCCACACTTTTCAAGCGTAGAGTCTGTTATTTTTAGCATGCTCATTGGGTTGTGCAACCGTTACCTGAAATTTAGAAGTTTTTACTTACCCTAAAGAAGGCCTGTACACATCAGCAACCCTGGCCTTTTTCTTTTGTTTGGGGGTGTGTGTGGTGGTCCTCAGGCATGCCTGCTGGGTAGGGGAGGGGGCTCGGTGTCGGGGAGAGCCCGGGTGTCTCTCCAGCCCACCTCTCACTGTCTTTCAGCTTCAATTTTTTTTTCCTGCTTTTTGGGTCACACCCGGCGATGCTCAGGGGTTACTCCTGGCTCTGCACTCAGGAATTACTCCTGGCGGAGTTCAGGGGACGCTGGGAATCAAACCTGGGTCAGCCATGTGCAAGGCAAATGCCCTACCCACTGTGCTATCGCTCCAGCCCTCAGGTTCAATTTTAAGATCCTGACATTTACATCCCAGCGGTAGAGATGGTCTTTTTGGTGTGTGGTTTTGTCGTGCGTGTTCTCCACACCTGGCTCGGTGCTGGGGTCGCTCCTGGAGGTGCTCAGTGACCTTGCATCCTGTTGCATCCTGGGGGTCTGCCCTGGGCCGTGCGGGCACGTCTGTCCCTGTGAGGGCTCTCCAACCCCCTTTAGATTTCTTGTTGGCCGGTGGGGTGGGAGTGTCCTCTGCAGCTTTTTTGGAGCCATCAGGGGTCCACCCGGTGCCAGAGATTGGGCCTGGGTCTTTGTGCAAGGTACTCAGTACTGTGGTACCACCCAGTGGTCTTAGGGGCTGTGTGGTGCCGGGGGTTGACCTGGGACTCTGCAGGCCAGGCACATGTTCCAGCCTGTAGACTGTTTCCCTGGCCCCCTGGTTTTTTAAAGCTTTAAAAAAATAATAATAAGGGCCATTCTGGGTGCTGCACGGTACCACGGATGGAACCTGGGGCCTCGCCCACGCTGCACAGATTCTTCCCCACATGGGCCTGAGCCGGGCCTGGCGGGAGTGTCCTTCCATCATACAGAAGCTACCTCAGCACAGTTACCATGTGTGTCTGGATTTCTTGCCTGCTCTCTTCTCCTTGCGTCTTACTCCATAAGGGGAAAACAACCGCTCTTAAGTACTTACGAAATGTCACCCTCCCTTATCCAGATGGTGGCTGTGTCGACAGGCTGGACTCAGAGCCCTCTGCCCCGTCACGGTTCTGTGACGTGGGTGAAGCTCTGATTTCTCTTGTCTGCGCCTAAGCGCCAGGCGCCAGGCTGGTGGGAAGTAGGTGGCCACAGTGGTGCTCAGTGGGGTGGCAGTGTTGGTTGTTCATATCTTTCACATATTTTGCAGCCTGAAAATTACGCGTGTTTTAAGAAAAACAGCAGATAAGCCGACATGAAGGTGGCAAGATCCCCGTGCTCAGCTGAAGAGGGCCTTAGCAATACCACTTCCTCTGTTTTAGGAATGTTACTATGTTTTCTTGACCCAGAAACACACCCCATTATTTAAATTTTATTATTTGGTTGTTGTTGGCGGTGCTCAGGACTTACTCCTGGCTCTGCTCGCAGGGATCACTCCTGGGGTGCCGGGGATTGAATCCAGGTCGGCTGTGTGCAAGGCAAGCGCCCTCCCCACTCTACTCTCCAGCCCCAATCGGTTTTTAAAATTATTTATTTATTTATGTATTTTTGCTTTTTGGGTCACACTTGGCAATGCACAGGGGTTACTCCCGGCTCTGCACTCAGGAATTACTCCTGGCGGTGCTCAGGGGACCATATGGGATGCTGGGACTCGAACTTGGGAATCGAACTTGGGTCGGCTGTGTGCAAGGGAAATGCCCTACCCGCTGTGCTATCACTCCAGCCCCAACCGATCATTTTTTTTTAAATTAACACTTTCTCAAATAGATTCTCTTCTCTGACATCTTTTTGACATACCTGCCTTACAGGGAAGCTTTTCAGCCTTTTGGTTGACAATTTTTTCATAAGCTACGGAGTGGCCCTTTATCTGGGGACAACAACATTGTCAAAATTTCCCGTCAGGGAAACCCTCCTGGTATGTTGCTAGAATGTCCCACAGGCAGCTCCACACCCTGGTTTCCCCTTGGTGCTGTTAGATTCTCCTGCAGTGCCGGGCGTGGGACACACAGTAGGACCCTGGGGGCGGGCGCCCGCATTTCATTCTGCCCCTCTGACCCCAAGCTTTCCTCCCACGCTGTTCCTGGCCCTGTAGCGAAAGCTGTAACTTGCTCCTTCATGACCCCAGCTAGACTGTAAGCACCACGAGGATAAGGATCTGAGTTTTAAACAATGGCGTGTTTGAAAGACCCGGAACAGTGTCAGATACGTAATCACTCGACTGCTCGATCGAGCGAGTGCATGTAAGAGTTCTTTCGTCTTTTCCAAGTATCCTTAGCATGTAGTTTCTCCTCAAGGCCACCGTATGGCTCAGGATACTGCCAGCTTTGTTTTAGGCCGACAGGAGGAGGAGGAGGAGCAGGAGGAGGAGGCGGAGGCGACGGACAGAGTGCCCCCACCCCACCCCGCAGTCGCCCTTCATGGTAAATCTTCCCGGCAGCTCTGTCCTCAGCAGTTCTTGGCTCGAATATGGCCTTTGTGCCCAGAGGGCCAGGGAATGGGGGCTGGGGAGAGCACTCAGTGGACCGGTGCACAGACTTTGCAGGCAGAAACTCCAGGCTCATCCCCAGACACCCCCAGCAGTGACCTCTGAGCACTGAGCCAGGGGTCACCCCTGAGCACCACGAGGTGCGGCCTCAGGGCCAGCAAGCCAACACAAAGGCCTGGAAATGTGGACCCAGCCCCTCCCACAGCGGGCCCAGAGATCCGTTTGGA